TAGGCGCGTTGCTTTTTGAAGCCAGGTTTGTCCTTGCCGCCTTTGCTTTTTGGACACCTCGGCTTGATGTGGCCTATCTCACCACAACCATAGCACTTCGGGGGCCCGTCGTGCTTTCTTCCTTTTCTTTCAAATTCTTTCTTCATGAATTTGTGGAACTTCTTGATGACGAGTCCGAACTCGTGGTCATCGTCGCTTGAGTCATCTTCCGCGGACTCCTTGGTTGCTTTCAGCGCTATACCCTTCTTCTTTTGTTCATCCAAAGACGGGGTTAGGATAGTGGATTCATAAGTTTTGAGATTACCTCTTAGCCCGTCAATGGTGACATTTGAGACTCCGATTGATTCATAGATTGCGTCTGCGTTTGATCTCCATTCGGGTGTGAGGCTTCGCAGGATTTTCCTCACGAGATCCCTGTTGGTGTACGTCTTCTTGAGAGCGTGAAGGTCGTTGATGATTTTTGAAAACCGATCGAACATGTCATCGATCTTTTCTCCTTCCTTCATCCTGAACATTTCGTACTCCTGCGTTAGGAAGTCAATTTTGGCTTCCCGAACTTGGTCTGTACCTTCATATGTGACCTCTAGCTTGTCCCACATTTCTTTGGCAGTGGTGCAGCAAGAAATCTTACGATAATCATCAGGATTGACGGCACAGTACAGCATATTGATAGCCTTGGCGTAGTTCTCCACCTTTTTGATGTCCTCGGCATCAAATTCGTCCTCGGTCTTTGGGACGAGTTTTTCAATGACCTTCTTCATTGGAGTTTCCTCGCCATTCTTGATGACCAACCACAACTGAAAGTTGGTTGAGCGGATATAAATTCTCATCCGCTTTTTCCAATATGTGTAGTTAGTGCCATCAAAGAGCGGTGGCCTCGAGGTTGATTGATCTTCTCCAATTCCTGCATAAAGATTTCTAGAAGAAGAACCCATGATCGCTTTACTCTCAAACGGTTAAGTTTGGACGCGAGTTAGGCTCCGATACTAATTGTTAGAATAAAAGACCAACGCTAGAGGGGGGGTGAATAGCGTTTGATCGGAGAAATCGTAGGAATTAAAAATTTAAAAGAGAAGTAAAGAGAAGAGTAAGAGGCACACCGAATTTTACCCTGGTTCACCACAACTTGTGGCTAATCCAGCCTCCCGAGAGACTCTCTCGAGCTACACTACTAACTCGTTAAGCTTACGGGTGCTTAACAAAACGTTACAACTTGAGAGTTCGAGTCACACGAACCTCAACGAATCCTTCAAAGGAAACAGACCTTCCTTTGAATCAACCGAGAGTGATACTATCTCTCAACGTGTCTAAGAACACAAGTACACTCAAGAACGAGACTCTCTTATAGAGTAGATTATGAGTAAACTAAGTACGCTCAAGAACAACTCAACCTTCACACAAGT